TTAACAGTTTGCTTATGCAAATATCAAGGGTTTCCTGAGTCGTGTGAATGTTTGCATTTTGTAAAGCTCACCTGCTCTTCTGGAGCTTTAAATGTTTGATTTAATTATCCCAACATGCTGTATAGAAGAGAGAGCAGATGAGAAAGAATGGGGGCTAGGAAAAAGGAGAAATGAGTGGAGACGAGCGAGAAGTCAAGGTAGAGGTCAAGAAGCAAAACCAAAAGGAAGAGACTGGCAGTACAGTGGGGAGGAGACTGAGGGAGACAAGAAGGAGCACGTCCTGGAGATGGCCTGGTATGAGCTTGATTTACCTATTGTTAAACTGCAAATGAAAGAAATGAAAGTGGCATAGCACAAAGATGGCCGCTCATGCTCTGATATATTGGTTTCCAGGTTCTTCTTGCGTGGTGTTTGCTGGGAGGGCCGACAAGGGGGAGGGAGGGGCGGAGACAGGCTGAAACCACCTGCAGAGAAAACATGTCTCCCCTTCTCTTCTTGGTTCCCCCTGTGGGGAAGCCCCTGGCCCTCTACGCAGCTGTTTGTGGCTCGATTCGTCACTGACGTGCTCAGCATGTCTGTGGTGCGTGCTTGGACATCTGATGGCAGCTGCTGCCTGCAGATTTCCTGCCCCGTCTCCAACTGCAACGTAGCAAGTAACTGGGTATAGTGGTGTGGAAGTCATGAACGGGGACTGGTGCTCTGATCTCCTGCCTGCGCTCTGCTGGGAGCCATGGGGGTCAGCCAGGGACCAAGTGCTTCGGGATGGTGCTAGGAACAAGAAAGCTGAGGGGGCCACATGGTCTGCCGCGGGAGAAACTTTGCTGCAAAGAGCTTCTTACGCGCTTCTGGCTGTTAAAGATTTTGCCTGTGCTGGATCAGTGAGTTGTTTAGGGATCTGGGGCAAACCAGTAAAACAGGCTGATGAATCCCCGCGGTAGGTGCCAGTCTGGGTTGCTGCCTTTTTCAGAAGTAAACAACTAGGAGCCATTGTTCATCTTCCTAACTCTCTGCAGGACACAGGCTGTAAATTACATCGAGGAACAAAAGGCTGATGGGAGTAGAACCGGGTGCCCAGCTTCGCAAGGGAGTGCTTTGCCCTCCAGCCAAAAGAGGAGCTTTTCTGCCTTCAACCAGCACAGGCTCTGCTTGCGCCTTCCCATCAGCACCCACAGCCCGAGAACAGTGCGCAGTACAGGATTTGCTACGCTGAAGCATTTACCGCCGTTTCCATTACAAAACCTGGTTTCAGGGTTGATCATGGAAATTAAATCCCGTCTGAAATGCAGGAAACAAGATTGCAGTCTAGGGACACAGGAGGAAATCTTATTAAAAATACCATATCTTATTGAGATTACAGTTAAATGGGTATAAAATCCTCCCTCCTCCCACGAAACTGACTTACAGCCAGTCTCACAGACCAGCTGTAGTCTATGCAGAATGTTCGCCGCTGTGACCAGAATTATCTAATGAGATTTGTGCTTTTTATATTCACCAAGACTGTGTTCTTCAACTCCCCATAACAAGCTTGAAATTTACACGAAAATATGTTCAGAAAAGGATTTTTTAAATAATAATAAAGTCTTTCTGCTGATAATAGAAAAAAAAAGTTTTTCAAATTAGAAGGTTCTTTTTTTGAAGTTTCTTTTTTTCACAATAGAAATGCCAGCTATTTTGACAGAAACAAAATGCCATTCTTCCCTCCTTTCAGTTGTTCCCATTTGATAGTGAAACTGATCTCGTTGGCATCATTTTTTTCATCATAAGTTCAGGTACATTCACGCTCTAGTTTGTCCACACAATAAAATCCAAAGGAATATATATTACAGGGAGACGCTTCCCCACTGAATTCAGGGAAATTTTTGCCTTTGACTTCAGGAGGCTAGAATTTCATCCCATACATGTTCTTTTTCTAGGGCTCCAACTCATGTACTCCCTAATAGGATTTTTATCAAAATTAATTGGTGCTGGCTACAGTTCACATATGTGATAAAATCACAAATGAGTTATTTTGGTGTTCCTGTACTATATTGCACCATCATAGATTCAGTATCTGCTGTGTCAAAGGCTTCACAGCAAACCACTTTTATAAATGCTGAGGGGCTTTAGTTGTATTGTTTCATTCTCTTCTGAAAACTTAATTAATTTGATACCATTTATTATTTTAGAAATTTTTAGTGCTGGTAATTTAATTGGTTGTTGCCAAGGCAGTAAGCAAATTCCAAAAGCTCAAACATTTAACTATGTGATTTTTTGTTATTAACAATAATGTCATGGAAACAAATACACAATGGGAAGAAACTGATAGGCTCAGCTTAAAATGATGCTCTGCTGCATTTCCTCAGCTGAAGATTTTCTGTAGGATTTTTCTGTTCCAGTATACTAAGATTATCTCAAGTTAAAGCAAACTTTATGTACTTCTCACAAGCAAACCCCTAAAACAAAAAAAAAATAAATTCCCCAGACTTGTACATCTCCTTTGACTAAATTTTCTGAGTGGCATTAGGCCCTGCGCCCAGGCTAAATTTGGGCTGCTGTCTACCTCAGGCCAACATATTGTAGGGGAGAAATTCCATGTTTGGGTGGGAAAGAAGGAAATATTTTTGTGTCAGCTTTTTAATTTATTTGTTAATGGCAGCTCTTTGAAGTGCTTGGTGTGTTGGAATGCAAGTGTGTGTCCTAGGCTGGAGCACAGCAGGCACATGGCATGTCAAATGGACAAACTTATGCATCATATACATACGGTTAATTAATTATTTCTGTGACGTACTGCGATTAATTATTTTTCTTGTATACATCTGTCTTTTCCTTTTGCATTAGGTACTAGCACATCCATGCACCTGGTCTAAAAGTGCCTGATCTTACCTTGATTTGATAGGGCAACAAGCAAGAAGAGAGATTTTCCAAAGTGGAACACCACCCACCCCCACCAAACACCAGCAGAAGTCTAAGATAGCTATCAAATAATCAGTACTGAGAAAACAACCTGTTCATAGTCTGATGTCAGAAGGGCTAGAATTAGAAACTTCAGACCATGAAGAGACTAGGAATTTCCACTCCTGGTAAAATAAGACCTTTGTCTCTGTAACACTTGCCCACATCCCTGAAATGGACATTATTCTCCATTTACCTGTGCCAAAGAAAACTTATTTTATTTTTTTCATTCCATATAATTGTAAATACAGGACATTAATGGACAAGTATTTTATGTTCATCAAAAAAACAAGACTCAAAGATACCTAAATTTTAATTAAATAATCTATTCTTTTTTTTCATCTGTAGGGGTGAATTTTAAAAGTCATTTAGCAATTGAAGAAAAAGATGTGCTTAGCAAACTTACAATATGCATTAACTGTGCACCAGTGTTTTAAATCCTGCTACACATCATTTGTATATTTAGATTCCAAAAGATCTATAGCTTTAAACGTAGAGGAATTCACAGAACTATTTCTTTTCCGCTACTATAAACAGTAAGAGGTATAGGAGATTGGTTTTGTCCTTGCTTTTAAAGCCATTTATTTAAAAAAACCCAAACAGTAGCATATTCACTAATTAAAACGTGTTTTATTTAGGAAAAGCCTGTTGGAACCTGTTGCTAAAGTCTGGCGATTGAGGAAAGGATAGCCAGCCATCTGTAAGTCGAAAGTCAAAGAAAAGGCAAAGTCCTGAAAACCTCTTTGTGTAACGTTCTTGTGGCTGTGGCTGGAAAGACCTGTCTGTATTTTTCCATTGTTTGTGTTAACAGAGATTAAAAAATCAGTGAGAAAATTCTTTGAAGTGGAAGGATCGACAAGATGGTAATCTGATATAGAACTATTCATATCAAATTTGCTGAGTGAAACGGAAATTGGGGCATTACTGGCTGTCAGTCATTGCCACATGTTGGTTGTTAAAGGTGAGATGTGTTGGCTTTGGTGATCCCTGACCAACCCCTCCTTCCACCACATACGAACCACTGTTGCACTGCTGCAGCTCTGGAGAGGCTGGCGTGTGGAGACACCAAGCCGAATGGCGAAGGCACATTACAGACATGCCTTTCGCTTATCTACAGAGGTTTTGAGGCTTTCACCAGGGAGTTCATGTGGCACCTACAGTCACACAAAACCCCACGCTGCAATGAATATCTGTCCTCAGGAACCGAGACCTTGTCTGAATGTCAAAGACTGTCATATGTTCTCATCCTGTTGCTCTGCTTTGCAAATCGGGAATAAGGAATAATTCCTTCCGTACCTCATACCATCAATACAATAAAATACCAGCCTTCGTCCTCAGTACTGCAGCTGGCACTGGCATTAGCTACCACTTTTGTAGGAGCAGCCTGTGCAGAGACACCAAGGGTAGAACGGGCTGTGGGAGGCTGAACTGCCTCGACTTACCTTCTGCCTGAGGCTTTCCTCCAGGGATGAACCGAAACATTTTAGAAAGGTGCATTGCAAGCAGGAGTTCTGCGTGCTCTGAATTGAACTGCAAGAAGAGCAAATGATGAGATAAAATAAGCTAAATATTTTGGGGAAACATCCAGGCAGTTGTAGATGATTTGCTGGGCTTCAGAAACTCTAGTGCTTCATGTTCACCTGGTTTGCAGTAATGAGGAGATTTTAAAATGCAAGAAGGAAAGCTTTTAACAAACAGTGCCTTTCTGCGCTAACTCACGAGAGATTACACAAATTTTCCTGCAAGCGCAAGACGCATAACTTCTCAGTGTACTTGTGTAAGAAGAGGAGGTTTAGTGCCTCTTTAAAACTCGAGTGTGGCTGCTTAGTCAGTACTAGCTCCCCTCCCACCCCCCTTCTTCTTCTGGGTAACTTTGGTTGCAATATGGGTGTGACTTTTGACGGAGCTCCCCCTCCCAGTTATGTCATTACTTCAGTTCCTTTCAATTAGAATAAAAAGTGCAGCAAACTTCAGACTCATTGACTGCAGGCTTGACAAGCGTCGGGGCTTTTCTTCTTTCCACAGCTTGTGAGGATCTCTGTTTTTTGCAAAACAGTTCTGAGAAAAAAATGGCCAGCTTTCCCTTATGGGCAACTTTTGGATTATGTTTGCTGAAGCTTTGCCTAACAGAAACACGTAAGTTTTTTATGAATGAAAATACTTATGGTTGCTGATAAGTTAAGACTTCAGGCAGCAAGAACTCTTCTGCTAGACAGCGAACAGCTTTCTTGGGTCTGTGTAAAGTTTGATTATTTGTAAGTGTTGTCAGAGATGCTTTAGAAGCGTAACCTCTGCTGTGCTGGGCTGTGCAGTCATGGAAAGCTGTGTATTGCTGGTAAAGGGCAATTCCAGATCTATAAAAAGTAAATTGTAGATTACAAAAGTGAAGTTTAAACTAAGAACGGAAGTCCATTAGGGAATTTGGAATAGCTCTGGTAAGGCTCGGTTCGACAGCGTGACTGCTGTTACGTACTTGGTTTGCTCTCCCAGCGCCGTTTTCAGACAGTAGAGAAGGGGGG